CTCTCCTTCCTTCGCCCTCAGGAGCTGCCAGCGGCTCGGCTCGGTGTGGTGGACAGAGAGAGCCGAACATGTGAGTTCAAGGTTGTACCTGAGACCTTCGGGGCTGTGTGACCTTGGGCAAGTCACCTTTAGGACTATGTAAGCTGCAGAGAGAGGTGGTGATCTGTGTTGGTAGAAGAAATTGCCTCACCTGGGAGTTCCCTAAACCACTGAAATCACCCGTGCCCTTGACCTGCCACTGCAGGAGCAGAGAGGAGGAAGGCCTTCCTCCAAGGCCCCATTCCCACCTCTCTGCTCCCCACAGGGCCTTCTTTACACTAACTTTGCCATCCCTCACACCGTCCAATTCCAATTTTTCCAGGGCAACATACGTATGTTAAATGCCTCCTGCATGCAAGGAAGGCCCCGTGCAGAGAGGGAAAACAGCGTCCTTGGTTCCCGAGGTGTTCACAGGGCCGTAGGAGGGAGGCAATAGGTACCCAGATAACCATAACACAAGTGAGAACATGATTAAGCCTCACCTTACCTGAGAGGCTGGAGGCCTAGGTGGAGCTGGGGTGGGGGACTTCATGGAGCAGTTAGGGGTTTATGAGAATGTTCCTGGGAGAGGGCATGAGGGCCTGTACTAGCATGGAGATCGTGAGAGTAAGCTTGTGGTCTGGGAGGCCCCCAAGCCTACCATGTGGATGTAAACAAAACGAGGTTACCCACAGGGCTAAGTACATGGCAGTATGTGTGTTTAGACAAGCTAGGTTGTTTTTTCTCCTATTTCCTCATCGATTTTATTTCTGTATTTCGATTTAAAATGAATAAAGGGAAAATGTTTGCTCATACAAATATGTGGTAGAAATTGATAGGAGAGTTTTCGAGCTCTCTTGATGGGAGATTGACATTCATTTTTTATTTTTAGATGAAAATATATGACTATTGTTTGTGAATATCTAGAATCTGTTGCTATGTGAATTAAGGCTTGTTTTTCACGCAGCCAAGTCAGTTTTAAGATATGCTATGCAGGCCCAGGAAGAGTCCCATAAGCTCCTTCGCATCTTTCTTGACAAGCTGGGAATTCCCTAGCTTGGTGTAGACTCCCCTTGTCCTGCGTTCCTTACCACCTTTCCTCAAGCTCTGATAGTTCTCATGCCTGGCCTCCACTCCTGGGCTGAACCTTTAAAGGGTACACACATAGATTCCTGGGGGGTTGGAAGACTCATCGGGGGTGTAGACCCATGGCATCTTAGACAGATGCCTGCACCTTCCTCCAGTGAAGGACCCATACAACGATTGTGGCCCTTTTCCCTAACCCAGGAAAAGAGGAATGGGGCACTGAGGGAGAGGGAAGTCAGAGTTACAGGAGAGAAGGAGCCTCAAATGAGAGCTGGCCTAGGTGGTGTAGGGAAGAATGATTAGTACACTAGGGAGCCAAGATGGGCTCCGGTAGGACCCATCCAGGGCAGTATAGTAAGTCTGTGTGAGTCCCTGGGGGAGCCAGCCTGCTGGAAGGAGGGGGATGTTGGGTTTTCCTTGCAGGAAATACCACGAGTCTAGAAGAACCTATAAGCCCCTGAGGAAGCAGGAGACCTATGGGAAGCAAAAGGGAAGTGCACCTGTTTGGGGGCTGGGTTGGGAGTGCTTTTTGTGGAGGGAGTAAGACTTGTTCTATATGTAGGATTTTATCAGCCCGAGTGCATGCAAGGGAGCCAGGGGGCCTTGGAGAGATGCAAGCCAAGCTAAGGTTCCTAAGGGAAATTACGGGCCAGAGGGTGTGCTTGTGACTAAACCCAGCCTGTGTGAGCCTCCTAGGGACTGGGATGCCTCCCGAGTAATGCCTACAGCTAGAGTGCTGTAGGATTCTAATCCCAGTCTTGAATTCTGGGACTCGGCCATTTCCTCAAAGGGAGGAGATTTTGAGTCTCACAGCCTGGTCCCGGCTCACCTCAGGCCCACAGATCTCCCTTCTCGTCTGACCTGGGATCCCCTCACTCGGTTGTTCCTGGGGGGTGTTAAACTCACCCCCCCATCCTCCTCCCACCTCCTCTACCACACCCAGAGGGGAAAAGCAAAGGGGGGAGAGTAACTCCCTTGGGAATGATGCTTTTCTCCACCTGTTGAGAATCAGCGCTGGAGCGAGCCTCCCGAACTCCCGAGGCATGGTGGTTCTGCCCGAGGTCCCAGTATCATATCCAGTCCATGCTTCAGCCTGCTGAGAGGTCTGGGATCCTGACTCCAACATCCAACAGGGGAGCGGTCCTTTCCAGGAGCCCCAAATTGGATGTGCGTCGAAGTCACGGATGAAGATGTTGATGGGAGCAGGGCCCGGGGCAGAGACAGCCTTTGCCCGATGCAGGGATGTGGGTGCTCCAAGCCCCAGCAGCTCCTGCACACCGAAGGATCTGGCTCGGGGCCTCAGGGCTCTCAGGGAGACTGACAGTCTGTCATGAGACAGTACAAGGGCGGTGCTCACAATCACACGTGAGTCCCAGGCTGGGAGCTGGAAGAGCCCAGAGGCTGAGGAGCCCAAAGGCTGGGCACAGGGGGCTCTCCCTGGCCAGGGCTTGGAGGACCCCAGCGAAAGGGAGGCTGCTCCCCGGGGCAGCAGAGTCTGAGCTGGAACATCCAGCACGTGGTCCTGCCTGCAGGGGCCCAGGAGCCCTCTCCCACCAAGACTCCCTTGGCTGGAGAGCTCCCTGGCCTTCCTCCCATGTGTTCAGGGGGTGGCTCCCAGCTATGGGGGATGAAGGTGGAAAGCCTTATGATCCAGAGGATGGAGGGTCCTTTCCTGGACCAGTGAGGCAGCAGCTTCCTCTGGGTTCAGTCCTCTTGAAGAAGAGGCCAAACACCCGACAGCAGAGAAGGTGGAGCCCGGCCTCTTCAGGTTAAGAGGAGGAAACTGAGGCCTGGAGAGGGAACCGGTCCCCTCAGCCCAGCTCTCTTTGCCCCAGGGACCCCCTCCTCTCTCCTGCTCATGAGGCTCAGAAGGGGGAGGTAGTCCACTGAAGAACCAGAAGTCCCCCAGCCCGGCCCTCTTTCCCCCTTACAATTGGGGTCAGTGACTTACCCAGGGTCACACAGCTAGTAAGTGTCAAGTGTCTGAGGCCGCATTTGAACTCAGGTCCTCCTGACTCCAGGGCTGGTGCTCTACCTACTTCCCCACCTAGCTGCCTGTAGAACATCCAGGAGGGGCCCTCCTGGATGAGAAAACTTGAGGCCCAGAGGGGGCCAATGACTGGCCCAAGGTCACACTGCTGAGGCCACAGAATGCTCCCACCCGGCTGGGTTGCCAGTGACAGTCCCTTGAGATACAGCAGCGAGGGAGGGAGGAGTTCTATTGTAATGAGGAGGAGGCGAAGTTCATCCCTTTCCCTCCAGCCCCAGAAAGCACTTTCTGCATCTAAAAGATCGACAAAGCTGCCACTGCAGGGATCCCAAAGCGCCATGAGCTCCTCCTCCCTGCAGCCCCAAAGCGAGGCGCTACCTCGGGCGGCTTGTACCCATTTCACAGACTGGGAAACTAAGGCCTGGGAGGTCGGAAACTCGCCCAGGGTCACACGGCGAGCCTGCGCCCGGATCCAGGCAGGCAGAATGGGGAGCTGGGGTAAACTGTAATTATATAAATACAGTAATGGTTATTATCAATAATATTCATCACAGACAATAACAATACCGCCTCCTACTCTTCCGGGGCGGGCTCTAGAGCGCGCGCCCGGGAGGGGGGCGGGACGTACAGCTGGCGGCAGCGAGCCTTGCCCCGCCTCCTCCGCCCCAGGAGCGCGCACGAGGGCGCGTGCGCATGGGGCCTTCCCATGGGGAGGAGCCGGAGGAGAGCGAGAGAGCGCATGTGCTGGAAGGGTGGGCGTTGGAGCTAGGGAAGGGGCGGGGCGAGCGCTGGTGGAGGAGGCGGTGCCCCAGCTACCGCTTGAAGTTAGCGGCGCTCGCGCCGCGCTACCTATGTGCGATTGGCTCGTAGGGATCAGGGGGCGGGGCGACAAGCTCGCGCGTGCGCGCGGCTGACATCGACTCCAATTTCTCCAGCTTTCTCTGGATAAACCAGCGATGACCTTTCGTGGGCAAAGGGTGGGGCAGCCTGCAAAGCACTGCACGAGGATAAAGCGCCGCAGGAATGGGGTTTTTGCTTTGGCAGAGAGGAAGGAGCTCTGACCGTGGAGGCAGAGGACCTGAGTTCAAATACCGCCTCTGCTGCTCATTCCCCGTGGGACTCTGGGCCTCAGTTTCCCTCTCTGTAAAATAAACAGTTGGGCTTGCATGGTCTGCCGATCCACAAAGCATTTATTAAGCACCCACTGTTTGCCAGGCACACACTAAGCGCAGGGGATCTTGATGCTTGATGATGCTTTGACCTTCCTGGGCCTCAGTTTCCTCTTCTGTAACATGAAGGGGTTGTGCCCGCGGCCTCTGAGGTCCCCTCCAGCGCTATGACCCTCCCTTATGGGTTGTCTCCCCCATTAGAATGGAGCTTGACAAAAGGGATTGTCTGGCTTTGCTATTTGAACCCCCAGACTCAGTACAATCGTGCTTTGCACACAGTAGGCACTTAATACGTGCTTCTTCCATTTCTCCTCAGTCACTTCTCTAGAGGCCTCAGTTTTCCCATCTGTCAAATAAGGGTCGGCCTAGGTGGTGTTCTGAGGGACGTTCCAGCTGCAGATCTATGGCTGGGTCACTCCATCCTTGCCTTCCAGTCAGTGACAGTGAAGGTGGGCAGGGTATGGTGTAGGAGTCTTCCGCAGATGAGCCTCAGCTCTTGCGTGTGTAAAATGGGGATTTAAAGCCTCCCCCCCCAGCACCCTCCCTCACTTAAATCCAATTCACTTGCATGTGGCATCACCTCCCTGACGTCATGGTCCTCTCCGAGAAGGAAAGACAAGCAATCTCCTTCTCTCCCTCCCTCTCTCCCAGGGCTGTTGAGAGGCTAATGGGTAGAAAGAGCCTGCTGAAGGATTTCAAAGCGTCAGCTCACCGGAGGATCCTCCCTCCACAGACTGGGAGGTGAGCTTGGGTGAGAGGTAACAAGGGGGGCTCCGAGGAAGGAGCTGGGATGTGGCTTGGGGCAAGTCACTGAACCTCTCTGGGCCTCAGTTTCCTCATCTGTCAAGTGGGACCTTCCAGCTCGCGATCCAAGGTGGCCTTTCAATTAACCTTTCAAAGTCGCTCCCGAATCTCCCGCCTCCATGCCGTGCTCAGGTGCCTCATGCCGGACACTCCCTCTCTCTGCCTCTTGGAATCGAGGCTTCTAGTAACGGTTAGCTCAGGTGCCCCCTCCGTTCTGTGAAGCAGGGCTCTGATGCTCATTGGGGGCATTGTCTTTATTTCTCTACATCCGACCCCCTGCAAGCCTCCCCGGCCTCCAGCTCAAGTTCCTGGGGACCGAGGCTCCTTGCAGGGTCAGATCCCAGAGGCTCCGGGCCAGCGAGGAGGGGGCGGCAGGTAGCCAGGCTGGCAGTCCGGGGAAGCAGAGAAGGGCAGACAGAGCCGGGACTTAACCGCAAAGCCCCATTCATTCTCCAGAAAGTCCACATCTGGATTTGATTGACTTACTCGCCAGCTCCCTACAGCTGGTTTGAAGCAGCCTAGGAAAAAACCACACAACTCATAGAACAAAACCGCAAACTGCCTCCTCCTCCTCCCTTGGGACAAGCCTGCGGGCTCCTGACCCTGCCCGGGACCAGCTGAGGGGGCGAAGATTTCAGTCAAGGCAATCTTCAGTCGAGATTGGCGAGGCTTCAGGACTCCAGGAGAGGCAAGGAGGCCCAGGCACCTGGAATGTTGGTCCTCGTGAGTAGGGAGCGGGTGGGTTCGGTGGGAGACGCCGGGAGGAGAGGGGGCGGCGGTGTCTGCCCTGACGAGCCCAGCGGGGGGCGATCCACCGGGAAGGGGGAGCCCAGCCTCTGCCCGATGTGGGCTCAGTACTTGAACAAGTGCTCTAGAGCCCTGCACTTCTCAGCCCCAACAAAGGCTGGATCGTCCAGCCCTCTGAGTCTTTCGAGTTGTTAGACCAATGTGTTGGCCCTTCTGTGGCCAGGCAGGATGGTGTGGTGGGAAGCACACGGGACCCGCAGTTCTCAGCCCTTCCTAACTCTGCCACCTCCCAGCTGTGTGGCCACCGGCAAGCTATTGCACCGCCCTCAGCCTCAGTTTTCTCATCTCTAAAATGGGGACGCCAGTGCTTGAAGCCACTGCCTCAAGAGGCGGTTGTGAAAGCTGTGCTTTGTCAACTTTAACCTGCCCTGTAACAGTAAGCCCATTGCTTGGTGTAACTGGTGCTGTCTGAAATGAAAAAGAAAGAAGTTATGTTCTGTGGGGAGAGGAAACTTCGATGCTGCCGTTTCGGGGTGATGTCCCAGCACCGGCTAAGACACCTGATGCTGGCTCGGCAGGAGTTTCCAGGTCTAGATGTTGGTGCTCACAGTTGGGGGTTCATAGAACGCCTTGGGGGTCCTAAGGCCCGAAGCATCACCTACCCCATCCACATTGCCTTTAATCTATGTAGAAAAAAAATTCAAGGCATTTTTATTTGGCAAATAACACGGCTTATGGTCATTCTTTAAATATTCTTTTAAAATTCTATTTCAGTAGAGATTTAACCCTGCAATTGGAAATAGTCTATAAAAAGTACCCCCCTTGTATTTTAGAGCAATTCATAAATTCACAAAGCGGCAAGGCGGAACTGGAATAGAAGCAGACGTGGAGGTGGCTGAACTGGGCTCCCTCCTCATTTAGCCTGACCTCCTAGCTGTGTGACCCCTCAAGCTGTTTCCTTTCTCTGAGTGCTCTTCATCCCTAAGTTGGAGTTGGAGTTGGAGAAGAGGACCCCCTAAGGCCCTTCTAGCTGAAGGCCCCTCCAAACTGCTCTGAGACCCATTGCTTAAGGCCCCTTCTGACCAGCTGGGGGTTACAAGGATAGTTCATGCTCTTGGGGAGGCTTTTTCTGATCTCTGAACCAATAGCTCTTCCCTTGGAAGTTGACTTTGAGGGGCACCTATGCCATGCAGACAGATGGGTATCCTGGCAAACTGAGAGAGACTGGATAGGAGAGGCTGTGCTCACCATTGTGTTTGTAACTTCTCTGCCCCACACCCTCCCTGCTACGGTTTAAGAGAGTCCTTCTGTCATTTGTGAAAACAGAGACTGGTTTCTCACCATCTCCTGCAGTATGCATGCTGGGGCTTCTTAAAGAGAGTTGGCCAAGCGCACTGCCCTTCCCTTCACCTGGATGGACGATTCTGGAAATTTTAGCCTGGCTTTGGAAGACCCGGGGGGCAGCTTCCCTTTTTTTTGGTGGGGGACCCTTGGCTTTCTTTCTATTTTCAAGTCCTTCCCTGTCCTCTTTAGTCCCAGAGCCCAGAACCTGTGATCGTTTAAAATCCTGCTTCCCAGAACCCTTTGCAGGTTGGCCAATTTCTTCGGTTTGAAACAAATCTTGAATTTCCTCTGTTAGAGTTTGGCTGGCTTAATGAGCTGAGCATCATAAGCCTTCTGGAAAGGCCGCAGTGTGGTCAGGAGCCTGGTTTTGTTTCCCTCTCCCCCTCCCCATTTCCCCAATCAGTCACTTGTCAGTTCAGCATGACTGCATGGCTCAACACTTATTCATAAGAAAACCCACCACCTACACCGTCCTCAGACCTGCTTCCTTCAGCTCTTTCCCTTTTCCTTTGGGCTTCTCTGATGTAGAGGGTTGTGGGCCATCTCCAGATCAGAGAGTTGAGTCTTTCACTGCTCCCCTGGGCTACGTTCCAGGAGAGAATCCTAGAAATGAGGAAGTCAAAAGGCAAGGAAGGCATTTGAGCTAGTTAACGCTGTGGTACTATTGCTGCAGGTTTTCAGGAATGCCTAGGATCCTGGGGTTTTAAGTCCCCTTAAAATTCACCTGGTCCCAAGCACCTGCCCACTGGCTGAATCCCTTCTGCAGCAGCCTCTGCTTAAACACTTCCAGTGATGGGGAACTCACTACCTTACAAGGTAATCCTCCTTATTTTGGGACCTTACTTTGTTTCTGAATTTCATTCTATAAGTTACATATTGAGGTGACATTTCTAGTGTGCTTTTTTCATGTTCTCAAGTTGTACCAGCCAGGAATTTTTTTTCCCCTTTGGAAAAGCCAATTTATTTGTGATTATAGTAGGGAAAAGTCCAAAGCAGGGAGGCAAGAGCAAATGCCGTCTTTAAAGCCATTTTTACCATTGTGGCTGCCAATTACTTAAGAGAGCTGAACCCTACACATTTTAAAACTGAAAATATGGAAGCCAGGAAGACCTGAACAGGTGGACCTCTCCTCCTAAGTGCCGACAAGTGGAGGGGGGACCTGAGGGGGCAGCAATTCTCTGTCTTTCTTTCCCTTGGCTTTGCAGCCAGTCTGCCTTTAATGATTTCCTTCAAGCCTCCGTGAAGATATGAGACAGTTTCCTGTCTCTGCTCCCCACTGCCATCACCTTCTGCTCTGGTGGATGGGGGCTTATCAGAGGAAAGGCCACATGATGGTGATTCTCTCGTGGAAGCCAGGAACCCGAATTAGATTGCTCTGCCATGGATGGCTATTTTCAATTTGCGAGCATGAAATCCTTGTCCAGAACTGGCCTGGAAATCCAGTGCCAGGAAGGTGTAAGGAGGACGCTTGTGGGTCTGAGAAAATTAGGTGTGAATTGAGAAATCAATTGGCGGGGTTTCTTCAGCATGCTAGACACTCTGCCTGGCTGAATGCCTGGCCTGCTGGTTCAACTTGAAATAGAAACCTTTGCATTAGTCCCGGAGGGAGGGTGCCTGGATTCTCTCCCTGCCTGTCACTGACTGTAACTTTCGGCAAGTTCCAACCCCAACTCTGATTTCCTCATCATCTTTAAGATGAGAGAGCTGAACCTTGGCAGGGGCTCATCACCTTCTGTTCGTGTGAGGGTCCCCCTTGTCAGTCTGGTGAAAACTGTGGGCCCCTTCTCAGAGCAGTGTTTTTAAATACATAAAATAAAATACATAGGGAACCAAAAAAGTCTTTGTGCACTTTCCAGCTATTAAAGCTTTAATATTACTAAATATTTCTCTAGTGTTACTAAATGCTAAAGCTTTTATAGTCTGAAGCTGCACTGAGACTTTTGGGACAGCCCGTATTGAAATAAAAGATGTGATTTTTGTCCCACCCAAGTTCACTGACCCCCTTAAATCTGTCCCCAGGCCCCTGGACCCCAGGAATAGGTATTTCCAGGTTCTCTTTCATGGATGATTTTGTTAACATAAAAGGCTCTTTCGATGCCAGCATTTCACACACAGAAATCCCAGAGCTGTGTTTGCTTTTTATTCCAACCAGACCTATGATTTCATTATATGGGGAGGTCATAGTGAGGCATTCACAAATGGAAACTGATGCCTCTTCTGCACCAAGCCCTTTAGAGAGGGATCTGGGGCACCGGTAAGCAGCCCCTCCCCCAAGGTCACCCAGCCAGGCTATGTCTGGACTTGAATTCAGGTCTTCCTGTCAGCCAGGCCAACTCTAATCACTGGGCCACACTGCCCACATGGGTAGTGCCTTAGCTTGTTTATTGGGCTTCTTGGGGTGATAGAGCTCAAACTTCAGAAGCAGACAAGTTCCTGTTGTAAACCACTTAGCTTCCAGGTTTTTTCTGGGGGGTGGGGTGGGGAGCAATTATGGGCTTACTGTGTGCCAGAGTGGCACTGTGTTAAGCACAGATATTATCAAATAGCACACAGATTTACAACTATTGATTCACCGGCCATTTAAATGGGAAATCTTGATATTGCAGAGTTTTTGTTTAAATAATACATAAGGAAGTGGAGAGGAATGAAAACAGATGGAAAGCCTGTCGGGTGTTTCACAAGTACGTTAGAAGGAGCGGTGTGTTGGAGAGGAAGTCAGGTGATGCGGATCTTTGGTCTGGCCCGGGGCTTTGGGAGACTTGTTGAATCTCTTGCCTCAAATTTCCTCACCTTCGCCCTTTGTTTGAGAAATCCCATTCCTGTCATTCATTCCCTCTGGCACTTTTCTCTGCGCTCTTCATTAAAGTGTGAGCACAGAAATGCTACAAATGATTTCTTATCCAGACGCCCAATGGCAGGGTTTTGATAGGCTTTGAAGGCATACGTCACACAGACGTGTCTCTCTATTTCTAGAGACACCAATCCCCGAATGATGACGGATTGGCTCTTGTTTGAATGGAGGGCAGGGACTGTCTTTGCCCTTGCGTGCACGTTCTCTGGCACACAGTAGGTGCTTGTTAAGCTAACTTGGCTTGTTTTTCCAAAACTTTTTTCAGGCCAGCCACTTTTTGCAATGGCAGAGAAGCTTGGAATTTGGACAGGACGATTACACAGACCTCGCTAGCTTTACAGCCTATGTCTTAGACGGATTATGAGTGTCTATGTAGATGTACATCTCACCTTGGGAGACTTGAATAATTATTCTCCACCAGGTTCATTAATTAATTTTGCTCTCCTGTTAAGATGCCTACGAGCCAAAAGCAGGAAGAAAAAAAGTCAGGGATCTCTGTTCCCAGGAGAGGGGGCTTGATCTGTTTGCATTTTCCTTTCTTTTGGTGGAAAGATGAAAATGTCTCAGTGTATTTCACAGGAAGTGAGTGCTTGAGAGAGCGGAGCAGGCTGGCTGCATGTTTCCAAGAACTGGTCTCAAGATATTTTGGTAACACACATTCTCTCTCACCTCCCCCTTTCACTCGTCCCTGTGCTGTGCTTTCTTCCTCTCTCACGGACACAGATGCAAATACCAGTCAATACAAACAGAAGGACCGAGGCCTGCCTGCCTCTTCTTTAGCAGGGGAAGGGAAGCAGGTGCTCCTATGCAGCTGCCTTCTTCTCTAGAACTGGAGGCCTGTGGCTCTGGGCAAGGTAGGGCGAGGCACGGGTCAAGGGCACCAACTGACCTCGCTAAGTGGAAAGAGCATCGTCTCTTTATAACTCCAAATCACTCTCCTTCTCCAGCGGTGGAGACTAAAGTCAGAAGGGCTTTGCCTGCACTTCCTTTCCTCCCTTGCCCCCTTGCAAAGGGTGTTGTATGGGTGAGAGGTTCGCCTAGTAACAAGTCTTCATTGGGCAGCCCGGTTCCAGGCACTTGGGGAGATGCAAAAAGCAGCAGAGGCCGGAGTCTTAAGGGATCAGTCTGCTCTGCAAAAGAGACAGACAGCATCTTCTCGCTGGTGTGCTACGAATCAATGAATTCATCTTGAGCCTTGGAATTTCTAATTGGAAAGGGCTTTCAGAATTCATTTTCTACACCTGAATGAATCTCTTCTGTTGTCCTTAACCTGCAGGAATGAAGTTTGATAGGATGGAAATGGGGGATACCCGAGCTGTCTCTCAACCCGGGGAAGGAAATGCCAGGGAGGTCTGAAACCGGGCTTTCATCGGTGGGGGCGTCGCCTGCCCGGAGGTAATTCACCTTGGGAGGATGCACTCGGGACCTCTCTGCTTGGGAGCGGAGGGGCAGGGTGACAGCTGGACAGCAGATTTGGGCTTGGGGTCCCTCTGGTGCAGGGGTGCTCCGGCCTTTTTCTCTTTGGATGAGACAGCCCGCAGCCGTGGCAAAATTTGCGTGGTCTCAGTTGCTTGCCTGTAGGCACTGAGGGCTGCCTAGTAGAGAGTGGCTGAAACAAGGATGACCTTGTGTTAGCCGTTTCTAAGGCCATCTCTTTATTAGCTCGGGCTCAGAATGATTTCTGTTCCCACAGTGCAGAATGTTCAGGTGTGAGGTTGTGTGTTGGGGTGCCGGCCTTGGAGCCGGGAACCCCCAGCTCATTTACTAATCATTTGACCCCTGGCAGTCACCTCACCTCTGTCTGCTTCAGATTCCTCATCTGTAAAATGGGTATAATGTGAGGTTCAAATGAGATGATTGGAAAGGACTTTGTAAGCCTGAAAGCGCTGTGTGAATGCGACTATTATTATAATCGTATACAAAGCTTGTTTGGCAGCAGGTAGGAGAAGAGACCAAATGGACAGGCTGTCCCCTACAGAACATCCTTTCCCCCTCACCTTCTTTAATCATAGCTTCCCTATTGGTGTCTCCTCGACCTTATTGATGAAAGAGTCAGTGAGGGCAGGTCTTGTATTACCCCCAGGGCCCAGACAGGTGCTTCCTGCACACAGTAGGCACTTTCTGCATTCTTTGGTATCGTTCACACGTACGTCACCACCACGTGAAAAATGCCGCTGAGCTTCTGCTGCGAGCACAGGGTTCTTCGGAGGATTTCTGGGTATTAAAGAGAAGTCCACCTCACGGGGGAGGGGACTCTCTCAAGGCTTCATGTTAGTAACAGCAGCTTGGGGCCCTATGTGTCCAGGAGAGGGTGCCGGGTTGGGGGTCAGGAGGCCTGGATCTGAGGCCCAGCTCGAAAGGCTGGCTCATGCTTAGACAAACCACTGGCCTCTCTAAACTCTACTTCCTCAGTCTATGAGATGGACACCATGATAATGCCGGTGTGTGCCAGAGACTGGCTGTGAGGCCACCTTGGCCCCCACTAGGCCACACTGCCTTTCAAGCTAAGTTTAAGAAGTATATTTAGGGGGCAGCTAGGTGGCACAGTGGAGAGAGCACCGGCCCTGAAGTCAGGAGGACCTGAGTTCAACTCCAGCCTCAGACCAAACACTTGACACTTACTAGCTGTGTGACCCTGGGCAAGTCACTTAACCCCAATTGCCTAAAAAAAAAAAAGTATTTATTGAATTATTGGTATGTTCCCACCACTGTCCTAGGCACATTGGGGGAGACAGAAAACCATAGGACAAAATAGCGGTGGTACGTTGGTATCTATAGGCAGGAAGGAAGGTTTGATTCCCCCCCCCCCCCGTAGCACCTGCAGTGGTTCAGTGAATAGAGCACTGGAAATCAGGAAGCCCCGAGTTCAAATCCAGCCTCAGATACTTGCTAGCTGGCTGACCTTGGGCAAGTCACTTAACTGCTGTCTGCCTCAGTTTCCTCATCTGTGAAAGGGGATAATAACAGCACTGTCAGGGTTGTTTTGAGGGTCAAGTGAGATAACATTTGTAGAAAGCACTTAGCACACCTTAAAGCTGTCTATAAATGCCAGTTATCATTATGATAGATTCAAAATTAAACCATGTACATTCACGTGTTATACAGGTGTGGGGGCTCCTTTTGTGTCTGGGGTGACCCAGCAGCCCCTTGTGTGATTTGGGGCATGTTCTTCTTTTTTTTCTTTTGGGTGAGGCAGTCACAGTTAAGTGACTTGCCCAGGGTCACATAGCTAGTAAGTGTCAAATGTCTAAGGCTGGATTTGAACTCAGGTCCTCTTGACCCCAGGGCCAGCGCTCTATCCACTGTGCCACCTAGCTGCCCCTGGGGCATGTTCTTTCAAGCGCTGGCCCCCAACCCCTCCAGACCTACCCCAAGCTTTGGAACCAGGCCTGCTCCTCTTCCTCTTTCCCACTAGTACCCGGTAAGGTACTAGGGACACATCTGGGCTTTCACATAAAGGCAACGTTTTGTGATGAAAAGCCAAGGAGAAGGACTGTTGGACTGGGGAGTTCTAGCTGCTTGTAGGGATGTGGAACAGACTTAAGACCCCCTCTTCTGTTGATATGTTTGGGAATCACATGGTACTCCAAGTTGGGTACAAACACACTGCAGGTCTGGATTCCTGGGGATGTTTGGGGCTCCTCTTTAAATGTAGGGATGGGGCTGGATGCTGTCCAAGGTCCCTTGCACGTCTAAATCCTAGGATCCTGGGATCTATGGCTTCCAGTGACCCCGAGTCAAAGATCATGGGAACCTTTCATTTTTTCCCTTGTCACTTTTCTGGAGAGACGTGACTTTATTCTAGGGGAAAGAAAAGGAGCAGACCGCCCAGGGCCCTTTTGCGGTGGGTTCTTTGCGCCCTGGATGGAGAAGAAGAACCCTCACTGCAGGTTACAATCATATTGGAAGAGGGAATTTCTCTCCTCTTCTTGTGATATGGTTGGACTGGAGGAGTTCTGAAGGCGTTTCCAGTTCCAAGATTATCTCATAGTTCGAGGCCACTTTCTGTCACGACCCGCTCACGTCACCATCATCACTGTCGAGCAGTTTTGTTTTTAGTGGTGGTAGCACGAAAGCGAGGGCCAGCAGCTTGCCATACTTTGCCCCTGCCTCCCTCCCTCACTAGCCATGGCTGGGCTTCCCCATACTCTAGGGTTGAGGCACACATTGGCAGAGGGGGTGGGAAAGAAAGCTGGTACTTCCCCAGTGGTTCCTCTCCAGTGGCTGTAGAGGAGGTTTCTGATTCCAGAGAATGTCAAACTCTCCCCTTTCATGCATAACAAATCGAGAACCAGATCACTTTAGGTGAAATGCATATTAAGAAGACTGGGTGAAGCCTTACAAAGATCAGCAGTACCAGGACTTTGGGGTGTGTATGTGTTGTACTATCATGGGGTTGCAAGCATAGTGGTACTTGAGTTTCCTTCCTGACCCGTACTGTGACCCAGGGGTTCTAATGATCATCCCTAAGCCCTTTGCCAAACTAAAATATAATTGAAGGAGCGCTGGACTTTGTTTTTTTGTTTTTAGTTGGGCAATGGGGGTTAAGTGACTTGCCCAGCGTCACACAGCTAGTTAAGTGTTATGTGTCTGAGGCTGGATTTGAACTCTGGTTCTTCTGAATCCAGGGCCGGTGCTCTATCCACTGAACCACCTAGCTGCCCCTAGCACTGGACTTTGAATCAGAAGACCTGGGTTCAAATTCTAGCTGTGACACTTATGAGCTGTTGGGCATGATATCACCTTTCTGAGCCTCAGTTTCCTTGTCTATAAAATGGGCCTAATATCTGCATTATTACTACCTGCACAGGGTTATTATGATGAAACAGTCAAGAAGACATGAATTCAAAACTGGCCTCAGATGCTTGCTAGCCGTGTAGCCCTGGGCAAGTCACTAAACCGCTGCCTGCCTCAGTTTCCTTATCTGTAAAATGGGAATAATAATAGCACCTACCTCCCAGGGTTGTTGTAAGGATCAAATAAGATACCTTCCAAGAAAAGACAAGATAAGCTCTATGTCAATGATATTATTTTTATTATCATTATCATTATTACTCAGGAGCAGGGCTCTGAAGCCAGAGGACTTTGGTTTGAATCCTAGCTCTGGCATTTCCTCCCCATATTACTTTGGATGAATCTCTTCTAAACCTTGCTTGTGAAATGAGGGTTGACCCTCTGAGGTCTCAGCCCTAGTGTAGCTAAGATTCTAAGTAATTTCCACCCAGTGCCTCAGTTTCTTCATCTGTGGACTGGATGGCCTGAGACCTCCCCAGCGCTCTATCCTATGACCCTAGAACATTCAGCCAGACTTTTACTTAAGTCGAGAACCCGGGACCTCCATGTGTTCCCTCTCTGCGTACGGTTAACACATCTCTTCTCCCGTCTCCCCTCACCACTTCATCATCAGAGGAGGTGGTGATTTGTTTGAAATCTGGAAGGCGGCCAGTGAGGCCACGGGTAGAATCTAAAATGTTAAACATCTGGGGGAGAGAACGGAGTCCAGAGGAGCAGATGTGATACATAAGAAGGCAGGAGTTTAAAAAGGATTTCTAAACGTGTGGTTTGTGGATGGGGTAACAGGGCAGACTTGTTGGTCGCAGGGGGCTCTCCTGGACAACTGACATGAGGCGGCCGTGGTTGTCCCCTGTGTCAGTTTCATGTAGCGCCAGCTCATAGAGAGCTTTCTATATTACCAATTCGCAGACCAATTTCATTTGACTAAATTCCATAATGTTTTGTAAGATAATCTTTTAAAAAATTAATTTACTTACTTATAGTTTCCAACTATCACTTCCATAAGCTTTTGAGTTTTAAATTTTCTCCCCCTCCCTCCCTTCCTCCCTCCTCAAGACAGTGCGCAATTTGATATGGGCTCTACATATACATTCCTATTAAACACATTTTCACATTAGTCATGTTATAAAGAAGAATTAGAACCAATAGGAGAAACCAACAAGAAAGAGGAAACAAAACAGAAGGGAAAAAAAGAGCAAATACTATGCTTCGATCTGTGTTCAGACTCTATGGTTCTTTCTCTGGATGTGGATAGCATTTTCCATAAGATAATCTTTTTCTTTCTTTCTTTCTTTCTTTTCAAGTGTTTGGTCTGAGGCGGTATTTGAACTCAGGTCCTCCTAACTTCAGGGCTGGTGCTCTATCCACTGCGCCACCTAGCTGCTCCTAAGATAATCTTTTAATGTTAATTTTGTCTAATGTGGAGCTTGGTGTAGTGGACAGAGTGGTCAGTTTGGAGTTCAGAGACCTGAGTTTGAATCCCAGCTCTGATACTGGTGAACTCCATGATGCTGGGCAAATCATCTACACTCTGAGCCTCAGTTTCCCCATCTGTTAAACAAGGGGCATAAATGATAGCTGACCTACCCGCCCTGCAGAAT